AGTCGCCAATTTAGGCTGAGAAACGGCGGTATATAAGCACAGTAATAAATAAATAAATAAATAAATAAATAAATAAAGTGTCTGAGCACTAAAGCTTCCAGCAATGGAAAGGAAAACCTTGGGATGCATCTATGCTCCAGAATGAACACATTTTAACTGTTTTGGTTCAATGCTATGGAAGAATAGGGGCAGTTGTTTGAAAAGGTCTTGAGCCTTCTCCATCAAAGAATGCTGATGCCTCACCAAACTACAAATCCCAAGAATGAACAGCATTGACAATTAAATGAAAGATGACATCCCTCAAATAGGAGCTCCAGGTGCAATTCCTGTAGTAGCTTCCCCGTTGGCTTGGCTGAGTACTAAAATTGCTGTATTATATGAATCTAATGGGCACTTTGGAGCCCCCAGTGGTGCTGAACTGCTGAACTTGCTTACCAAAAGATTGATGGTTCTAATCCGGAGAGTAGGGTGAGCGCGCACAGCTTTTGCCAACCTAGCAGCTCGAAAACATGCAAATGTGAGTTCATCAATAGGTACAACTCCAGCGGGAAGGCAACGGCGCTTCATGCAGGCATGCCAGCCACATGACCATCTATGGACAATGCTGGCTCTTAGGCTTAGAAATGGAGATGGGCACCACCTCCCAGAGTTGGACACAACTAGATTTAATATCAAGGGAAAACCTTTACCTTTACCTAAGTTTGGAGAGGTCATTTAGTAAAACAAGATGAGCATTATATTTGAGTAAATACAGTAACTTCTCAAGTTCTGCTTGCAATCAAATCCCTAAATCTAACCTTGGAAACTAAATCAGTCATGTTTAGTATTTGGATGGAAGAATGGCAACCAGTACCAATACTATATGTATTGGGCTATACATCAGAGGAAGGAATTGTCAAAACTCCTCTGAGTATTCCTTGCCTAAGAAAACAATATTACATTCACATGACTGTCATAAGTCAACAGGCAACTTGAAGTCACGCATAAAAACCAAGCAATAATGGTACAGTGGTACTAAGAACACTATATCAAACCATTTAACAGAATCTTGCCCATATTATTTGCAGGCAAATTTGAAAACAGTGTTGCGATTTAAACTATGATGATACATTATGATGTTTCATACTAATCATCAAGACAGATATCATAATGGTTAAATCTCTTTTATGTGTGCCCTTGATTGCAAATAAATAAAGAGAATTTTTAAAAGGTGTAACATACTCAGCAAGCCACAATCTATGGACAAAGGGGGGTCATTTGGCTCAGTCGTAACCAGTTATACAGACCATTGTATAAGCAAATAGATTTTAGAAGTCATGAGAACAAGACTTTTTGGAAAAAACTTTGGTTGATCAATTGACTGGTTGTTGCAGACTGTGCTGAAATCTACAAGGCCGGATACACACAGAGCAGATTTTACAAGATAAAACCTGTTGGGAGCTCTGATGGATTCCTTGCCTACTGTGACATGTCAGGAGGAGGAGGGTGGACAGTCTTTCAAAGACGATCAGATGGAAGCCAAAATTTTGATAGGTAAGGTTTGGATTTAAACATAGAAATAAGATGTTTATGATCCCAATAATTCTTGGCAGTGAAGTTCATAACAGAGATTTTTTTACCTGAGAATAGTGACTTCTGTTGTGATTATTCTCCATGAACCTGCAGTGCAAAACAAAGGTGAGAACATTTGACCCTCCAAATGTTCTGGGCTACAACTCGCATCATCCTTTACTAGTGACCATGCTGGCTGGAGCTTCTGTGAGTCAAGTTCTTGACTAGGAATGCTTGGAAATTTGACCTTAGTGAATACTATGAACGGATCTGGTTATAGATCTGAATATTGTTATCCTTGGATATCTCACTTGTTTGCCTTAGGCCTAACATTTTGGACTTTTCAGTGTCTGATTGTTTTTAATGCAATACAACTATTTTGGTTCGCTCCTGAAACGATAAATAAATAGTGTCTGTTGAAAACTTTGATTTGTCAAAAGCTTTAATAATTGCTTAGCTCTCTTCTCTTTTTGTTATTGTTTTTATCTTAGCTTTGTGGTGTTTTTCTTGTGGTGTTTCAAATTATTTTTATGATGTGCTATCTAGTCAGCCTCCCGTTGATATCTGTACAATCTGAAAGAGTATTTTTAAGACAATTTGGTAATCCACTTTGTATTGGATAAATCAAAGATGTACGCTTTATTTTCAGAGATTGGGCTGAATATGAACAAGGTTTTGGTGACTTTACTTCACCAGATGGCGAATATTGGCTTGGAAATAAAAATCTCCATTATCTGACTTCTCAAGGTAAGATCTGTACAGTTCTGGTTTGTTCGGGGAAAAGAAATCAGTGAGGAGAAGAAAATCTGTGGAACACTAAGAGCACAGTCTTGAACCAACTGTATGACTTCTCTGTAGACCCAGGTCAATGAAACATCATCATATATGCATACGTCTTTCTCAAAACCAGCCTTGCATTAGGCAGTATGAGGCAGCAACTGTAGGCAGATTTTACTAGTGGGCAGGATGTAATGTCAAAGTGTCAGCTGACACACTTGTATGTATCTGACACATAGCCTTCTATGGTCAGGTGAAGTTGAGTATGCTTTTATATAAAGAACTGGGAGAAGTATATTCTTGTCCTTTGAGACAACAGCTAAATGTTTTGGCAAAGAACAAAGGGGCAACCTTGACATACAGACTTCCTAGTTTTCCTACAGATAAACTTCTTTTAAGCGACCATATTAAATTCATGTACGAATATATACACGTTGGATTTGTTTCTATCTAAAGGTCAGCATGCAACAAGGACTATCATTATACCCAATGGACTAAAGAAAATGATACTGACAATAATCATTTGCGGAGAACCATTGAAAATAATGAGGTATCAACATTTGTATACAATGATTAGTGAGTTGAGTAAGGTATATACACACACACACACACACACACACACACACACACACAGAGTATTTATATTCCACCCTTCTCACCCCGCAGGGGACTCAAAGCGGATTACAATGCACATATACATGACAAACATTCAATGCCGTTTAGACATACAACATATATAGACAGGCATAGAAGCAATTTAACATTTCAGCTTTTCCGGCTTCATGAAAATATGCTTAGTTCCGGCTACGGGGGAGCTGCCACTTCACTGTCCACTTGTGACACCGGATCCTTTGATGGAGTATTTCCTCATTCTTCTGCATGCTGCTTGAAGATTTTATGGCATCGTAAATTAGTTAAATTAGCCTCCCTGCATAAAGCGGTACCTAAATTTCCTACTTCACAGATGCAACTGTCTTTTGGGCTGCATAGGTTGACAGTAAGCTAGACTATTAATGGTCGGGAGCTTACTCTGACCCAGGCTGGCTTCAAACTCATGACCTCTCGGTCAGTAGTGATTTAATGCAGCTGGCTATTAACCAGCTGCACCACAGCCTGGTTATAGATAAGACCTGCCTTTTTGTTTTCACCTTGCTCTATTTTTCTTTGGTCTCAACCTTTTGATTCCTTCTTATCTGGAGATGACAATTGCTCTTTCTCTCCAGAAGTTTGTTCGTTCCTTTGTTTTTATTTATGTGGTAAGGAACATCCATGCATCTCTGACCCCAACAATGAATGCTAACTTATGACCACATATGAGAGACAACTTTTTGGGGCTCTTCTAAGTTTAGGTCATCTTCTTTTCCCTATCTCTTTTTCCTAAAATGGATTTCCTGAAACTCTTTCTACTACAAGCTCATATTGAACTTGCCCTGTTGCATTCTGATTCTATAGATACCAAATATTCCTACAAACTTTTGATACCTTTATTGCCTTATAGCATCATCATCATAACATCATGACATGAACTAACTGTTACTAGGTCTTCTGAACCACAACTCCAAAATCTACAGACAGACAACACTTTCTTGGAGATACTTGCTTCTAATTCCTTCTACATGCCTTTCTTTTTTATTCTGTCATCTCTGTAAAGTTTTCTCATCTCAGAGAGAAAAGCGATCCATTTCAACCCTATTATAGAGCTGAAGTTTGAAAGAGGATTTATTTAATGTAAAGTGTTTCACTAGTAAGAGTCCATTCACATCATAATAAGGTCAACAACTTTCTCCTTACTGATAGCTACTTGATGGCAGAGGCTTATAAGCATTGTGTCAGAATCTGATGGAATTGTGAAGCAACGCAACATCACATGCTAACTGCACAAGCCATGTCAGAATCATGATCTTGTGACTCTACACTTAGTCTGGATCCACATTAAAATAAGCCTCTTTATTTTAACCCTCTCTTCTCCAAAAAGGAAGAGTTTATTCAGCATTTTCAATCAGTACTAGAATTGTCATGGGTTTGTTTTGCTTTCATAAATTTGGAGATCTCATTTTGTTATATCAAGATCAGTATGCATAGAATATTTCAGGCTAAGCAGATGTTACAGTTATACTAAAGTAGATAAATATATTGGCATGATCCAGTTACTAGGCTCATAGCTAGGGCCAAAGTGATCATTCAAAGTCATGATAAGCCAGTCTTCCCTGGGAACCCACTGGTGATAGAGCATTTAAGCAAACTACAGATCAGATTTCTTTACTGCAGACACAGACAATAGTACAAGCCATGTGCAGCATCCCAACCCTTTTTCAGCCACCAGAATACCCATATGTGCAAGTGGTATTTAACTATGCCCCCAATCTGTTTTAGGCTGTGGGTTAGAAGGCTTCCCCGCCCCCCTCCAAAACTGGAAGTGATTTTTTTGGACTGTGATGCATTCATGCCCCCTGGAAGTTGCCAGATCTTCTGTTAACATTACAGTTGAACTAAATAGCAATCTGTTCTCTGACTTGTTTCTTCGTTGAAAAGTCCAGGAAAAAAACACATTCTTGAACTACATTTTCTCAACTATACGGTTGAACGTTTAATTTTTATGGATTTGATTAGTCACTAGTTTGATTGATATATGGAATGTCTAGGTCCTCAGATGGAAGTTGACCATAGTTGTGCTAGGGGACCCATAGGCTCCTAGAAAGAACACCTCTTTATTAATCTCTAGGTCCTCTAGTACAACTCTATGATCAGCTTCCAGTGAAAGTTGAACACAGAGTCACCCTGAAAGATCTAGAAATTCTAGTGAATGTGGAAGGCCAACTGTACTGCACAAAATAAGTAATGAACCCAGCTAATGAACTCAAACCGCAAGAAAGAGCAATGGAACACATGGGGTCCATCCCAACTGTACAGCTATAGTCCTATTCCACACAGAAATATAGAATTATTCCACTTTAGCATTATTCCACTTTAATTGTCATGGAATGCTAAGATTTGTAGTTTAAGGAGGGTCGTTTAGAGCCAGAGTGCTTCAATGCTTCACCAAACTGCAAACCACAGGATAGAAGTGGAATAATAGCACTATAACTGTGTAGTGTGAATGGGCCCAAGGAATCAGCATGCAGAGTTGTCTCCAGAAAGCCATAGGGCTTATACAATCTTTGCCCTGCTTTCGGTTCCATCTCCCTCGCAAATGTGACTGCTGGGGACAAGAGACAGGGCCTTCTCAGTGGTGGCCCTTCCCTCCTGGCCTTCAGAAGGAAGGTAAAAACTTGGCTATGGGACCAAGCCTTTAACTAGTAAGCAGTACAAGGAATGAGCAGGGATTATGTGCAATAGATATGATATATCAGAAGATTCTAGGTTGCTCCTGACACGATAAATAAAATGATGTTTGGAATGGCCTGGACTACAATTGTTGGATTGTGATTTCAATGTCTATATTCATATGTTTTTAATTCCATGTTTTAATGTTAAATGATATTGTGTTTTATGATTTAATTAGATAATTGTATGTTATCATTTGTTAGGGTTTTTTTTAATGTGAGGCATTGAATTTTGCCATAATTATGTTGGAAACTGCTTTGAGTCCCCCTTTGGGGTGAGAAAAGCAGTATACAAGTGAAGTAGATAAATAAATGAATAATCCTCAGTATTTTTTTCTTCTTCTTCAGGAAATTATACCTTAAAAATTGATCTTTCTGATTTTTCGGGTGAACAACGCTTTGCACAATATGAAAATTTCCGCGTGGCTGACGAGCAGGTAACAAAGTTAACTTTCACAATGGAGAAATTTCAATTAGAAATTAGAATTTTGATATTATAGATGGAAAAAATGTTTCAAAACTACCAAACATGTTGAGGGATAGGGTGTTTAGTTAAGAGAGTGTTGGACATGGACCAGTAACAAGTCAAATCCCACTTTGATGACCTTCAGGAAGCCATTATTTCTTGGTCTAACCTACTTCACAAAGTTAATGTGAGGTTACAATTGGACCACATCCATTCATATGTATGGCCCAGAATTTCCTAGTAGAAGGATTGATAAATACATATTTTCAAAACCAAATATGAATAGTCCACTATATGAGCAAGTGGTGGACACTACAACGTTGGGAGGGTAATTCTGATTTGGCATTTCAGCCTCCTTCTTTTGGCCAAATGTTGGATCATTCACAAAATCAAGATTTCTACCCAAACGTTTGCAACCAGTCTGTTGATAGTACAAAAAGTATTCTCATAGGATTTCATGTTGGAAATCTGATTTGCACAATCAAACAACATCTTGTGTTAAATCCAGAGTGGTTCTCCTGAAATCAAACTTAAATTAGCCACGACTCACTTAAGTTTCAGTTCTTTTAATTGAACTATTGGATCAACTTTTTTTCCTTTTTGATCCTTGCTTTCAGTATCACTGCATGTTGAATGACATTGAATGACATATTTGTATTTATTTTAAAATCTGTTTGGTTTATGCATGAAACTGTGGGTTGTTTATATGATTCTACTATGTCTTTTGCTTTCTCCAAACCTTTCACTAGAGTTCCTACACAATGAGTTGTGGACGATATTCTGGCACAGCGGGGGACTCCCTCACTGGAGGATTTCACCCTGAAGTCAAATGGTGGGCAAATCATCAAGGAATGAAATTCAGCACGAAAGACAGGGATAATGACAACTATGAAAATAACTGTGCAGAAGAAGATAATGCTGGCTGGTGGTTTAACAGGTTGGATATCTTTTTGTCTTCCTTCTTTTCAAAATATTTTTCACTGATGCAGACTTTAAACTTGTTTATACCAAGACAAAGAGTCTGCATACAGATCACAGCCTCTCAACTCAACCCAGTGGTAGCACAGACTCACTTTCTACTCCAGCATTGCAAAAATATCTCATTTCCTTATTAAAGCTGCCATTCTCTGCATACTTATTTGTTGATAAGTTGCATTGAATTTGTGAAATTTTACTTCTGAGCCCAGCTGGGAAATGTTACATTTTTGGAATATTAATTCCAGAATCTTCTAGGAGTTGATTATGCTCTCTAGGGGATTCTGGGAGCTTTAATTCAAAATAAAACTTTCCACAGCTCTGCATTTGAGTCTGAATTCTTACGACTAATGCTGGTACGGAAAAAGTGATTATAGCAAAGATCTGCTTTAATCCTCTGGTATTCAAGTAACACCTGCAAAGTGATTCAGAAGATAACATTGTGCAGTCCTTTATTGATCTTCGAGCCCTCTCTGCTAACTGGTTTGCTCCTGCAATTCTACAAAACAAGATTGTTAAGAAACCATAATCATAGTATTATTCTGGATTTCTGCAGGCAAAAAAAAGCAGGCATTCCTGCAAGACCAACAGAAACAGGGAGTTGCCTTTTATTGAATTATTTGTTTCACCAATCCAATATTGCCAACTTAGACTTGCAGAGCTCAGCAGGATTTCATGAAATACTTTCCTAGCCCTGCCTGGGGATGTCTGGTGTTTCCCCATTCATCTACAATAGAGTCTTGCTTATCCAACCATCACTCATCCAAGGTTCTGTATTATCCAACGTAGTCTTCCTCCCTCCCGGGTCCACAGCTGTTTCAATATATTGCAATGTTTTGCTGCTAAATTCATAAATACAATAATGATTACATAACTTTTCCTTGTATTGAACTGCTTTTTCTGTCAATTTGTTGTAAAACATGAGGTTTTGGTGCTTAATTTGTAAAATCATAGAGTATTTTGATGTTTAATAGGCTTTTCCTTAATCCCTCCTTATTATCCAACATGTTTGCTTATCCAACGTTCTGCTGGCCCATTTATGTTGGATAAGTGAGACTCTACTGTACGTACCAGTTTGTGATCTGCTCAGTGTCTAAAATCATACACATGTATTCAGGATAGGATGGTGGTGTTCAGGTTGGCACGAGTGTGCGAGTTCAGCATTACACTTGGCTCAACCACCATTGTCATCATAAGATTACATTAAAGATAAGCAGCTATAATTGCAGTATTGTTAAATATATTAGAAATGTATAGCAAACAACCTGGGGTGGGCACAGGAAGGAATAAAATGTAGCTTACAGTTACTTTCATTGTTTTAAATTAACTTGTACTCATTTGAAATATGCATTTCACTCAGTCTTTGATTTGCTTTGCTACACAATAAACGGCTTTATTGATAGTCTGCACCTTTGAATCAGAGTGATGCATACATATGGATGTGTTTTCATTGTTTTTCCCATTCGATGTAATTTTCTGTATTACACTTTTTGTATTGCATTATTATGTTGTAAGCCGCCCCGAGTCCCCTAGGGAGAGGTGGCAGGATATAAATAAACATTATTATTATTATTATTATTATTATTATTATTATTATTATTCTGACACAAAAGCACAGTATGTCACAGCAAACGAGATCTATATGCTGGATTTAGTAAATCTCGTTTTCTGTGACATACTGTGCTTTTGTGTCAGTATATATATATATATATATACTGACATAATGTTTATTTATATATATGAATATCTCCAGCAAAGGATCACCGCCTTGTCGGGGCGCTGGAGCTTGAGCACCTCAATGATGTCATGAGCGAAACCGTGAAGGGCCACCCAAGACGGGACGGTTGTGGCAGAGAGGTCAGACCAAGCGTGATCCCTGGGGAAGGCAATGGCAAACCATTCCAGTATCCTTGCCAAGAAAACTAAATGGACCAGTACAACCAGAGATATGTCGGTATGCCATTGGAAGATGGGACTCCCAGGTCGGAAGATGGCCAAAATGCTACTGGGGAGGAGCAGAGGATAAGTTCAACTAGCCCCAGATGTGATGACGCAGCTAGCTTAAAGCCGAAAGGAAGGCTAGCGGCCGACGGTACTGGAGGTGAACGATGAATCCGATGCTCTAAAGATCAACACACCATAGGAACCTGGAATGTAAGATCTATGAGCCAGGGCAAATTGGATGTTGTTATTGGTGAGATGTCAAGACTAAAGATAGACATTCTGGGGGTCAGCGAACTGAAATGGACTGGAATGGGCCACTTCACATCAGATGACCACCAGATCTACTACTGCGGACAAGAGGAACATCGAAGATATGGAGTAGCCTTCATAATTAATAAGAAATTCGCTAAAGCGGTGCTTGGATACAACCCAAAAAATGACAGAATGATCTCAATTCGAGTGCAAGGAAAGCCTTTCAACATTACAGTGATCGAAATATACGCCCCAACCACAGCTGCTGAAGAAGCAGAAGTAGATCAGTTCTATGAGGATCTGCAGGACCTACTGGATAATACACCAAAAAGAGACATTATTTTCATTACAGGAGACTGGAATGCCAAGGTGGGAAGTCAAATGACAACAGGGATCACAGGCAAGCATGGTCTGGAGAACAAAATGAAGCGGGACGCAGGCTGATAGAATTTTGCCAGGAAAACTCGCTGTGTATAACGAATACTCTCTTCCAACAACCTAAAAGACGGCTTTACACATGGACCTCACCAGACGGTCAACACCGAAATCAGATTGACTACATCCTTTGCAGCCAAAGGTGGCGGACATCCATCCAGTCGGTGAAAACAAGACCTGGGGCTGACTGTAGCTCAGATCACGAACTTCTTATTGCCCAATTTAGAATAAAACTAAAGAGATCAGGGAAAATACACAGACCAGTTAGATATGATCTCACTAACATTCCTAGCGAATATACAGTGGAAGTGAAGAACAGATTTGAAGGACTAGATTTAGTAAACAGAGTCCCAGAAGAACTATGGACAGAAGTCCGCGACATTGTTCAGGAGGCGGCAACAAAGTACGTTCCAAAGAAAAAGAAAACCAAGAAGGCAAAATGGTTGTATGCTGAGACACTGGAAGTAGCCCAAGAAAGGAGGAAAGCAAAAGGAAACAGTGATAAGGGGAGATATGCCCAGTTAAATGCGCAATTCCAGAGGTTAGCCAGAAGAGATAAGGAACTATTTTTAAACAAGCAATGTATGGAAGTGGAAGAAGACAACAGAATAGGAAGGACAAGAGACCTCTTCCAGAAAATTAGAAACATTGGAGGTAAATTTCAGGCAAAAATTGGTATGATAAGAAACAAAGATTGCAGGGACCTAACAGAAGCTGAAGAGATCAAGAGAAGGTGGCGAGACTATACAGAAGATCTGTATAGGAAGGATAATAATATTGAGGATAGTTTTGACGGTGTGGTGAATGGATTAGAACCAGACATCCTGAGGAGTGAGGTTGAATGGGCCTTAAGAAGCATTGCTAACAACAAGGCAGCAGGAGACGACGGGATCCCAGCTGAACTGTTTAAAATCTTAAAAGATGATGCTGTCAAGGTGATGCATGCCATTTGCCAGCAAATATGGAAAACACAAGAATGGCCATCAGACTGGAAAAAATCAACTTATATCCCCATACCAAAAAAGGGAAATGCGAAAGACTGCTCAAACTTCTGTACAGTGGCCCTTATTTCTCATGCCAGTAAGGTAATGCTCAAGATCCTGCAAGGAAGACTCCAGCAATACATGGAGCGAGAGTTGCCAGATGTTCAAGCTGGGTTTAGAAAAGGCAGAGGAACGAGAGACCAGATTGCCAATATCCACTGGATAATGGAGAAAGGCAGGGAGTTTCAGAAAAACATCTACTTCTGCTTCATTGACTATTCTAAAGCCTTTGACTGTGTGGATCATAATAAATTGTGGCAAGTTCTTGGTGGGATGGGCATACCAAGCCACCTTGTCTCTCTCCTGAGGAATCTGTACAAGGACCAAGTAGCAACAGTAAGAACTGACCACGGAACAACAGACTGGTTCAAGATTGGGAAAGGCGTACGGCAAGGCTGCATCTCTCACCCAACCTTTTTAACTTGTATGCAGAACACATCATGCGATGTGCGGGGCTGGATGAATGCAAAGCTGGGGTGAAAATTGCTGGAAGAAACATTAACAACCTCAGATATGCAGATGACACCACTCTGATGGCCGAAAGCGAGGAGGAGCTGAGGAGCCTTCTAATCAAGGTGAAAGAAGAAAGCGCAAAAGCCGGGTTGCAGCTAAAGGTCAAAAAAACCAAGATTATGGCAACAAGAATGATTGACAACTGGAAAATAGAGGGAGAAACCGTGGAGGCCGTGACAGACTTTGTATTTCTAGGTGCAAAGATTACTGCAGATGCAGACTGTGGCCAGGAAATCAGAAGACGCTTACTTCTTGGGAGGAGAGCGATGTCCAGTCTCGATAAAATAGTAAAGAGTAGAGACATCAGACTGGCAACAAAGATCCGCCTAGTCAAAGCCATGGTATTCCCTGTAGTAACCTACGGATGTGAGAGCTGGACCTTAGGGAAGGCTGAGCGAAGGAAGATCGATGCTTTTGAGCTGTGGTGTTGGAGGAAAGTGCTGAGAGTGCCTTCAACTGCGAGAAGATCAAACCAGTCCATCCTCCAGGAAATAAAGCCCGACTGCTACTGGAGGGAAAGATACTAGAGACAAAGTTGAAGTACTTTGGCCACATCATGAGGAGACAGGAAAGCCTAGAGAAGACAATTATGCTGGGGAAAGTGGAAGGCAAAAGGAAGAGGGGCCGACCAAGGGCAAGATGGATGGATGGCATCCTTGAAGTGACTGGAATGACCTTGAAGGAGCTGGGGGTGGTGACGGCCGACAGGGAGCTCTGGCGTGGGCTGGTCCATGAGGTCACGAAGAGTCGGAGACGACTGAACGAATGAACAACA